ATACGATGACACGTTACAAGCCTTCTCTCCTCTCGGCGAGTAAGGCGACACGGGAATGGAGTGGTACCTGGTCAAACAGAATGTACAATCGTGTACTTCAACTTGATCGAGCCTACGCATCCCTTCGCATACGGAAACCAACGACCGACGAAGAACGTACAATCTCCAAAGCACTCAACATGGTCATCATGTCTTTCGCGTCACAGTGGGCTCAAGCAGGCGAAAGAGGGGCAGGAGGTCGTGCGACTGACCACCAGTTTACGGCGGACAGGTTCCCTCAGTCGAATGAGTTTGAGCGATCCATGCAAGAGACACTCTGGCATCAAACAGCTAAGCTGCTGCATCAGGCTGCTGACATCGGTTCTTTCCGTGTCATCTTTGCCTTGATCATCTTCTCGCTGACCCAACGGCCCTTAGACACCACCCAGCTGCATACACGTACGGATCCTAAGTTGAGAACGCATTACGAACATTTCCAAGCCTTGGTACAGGACGATGACGCCCCTATATTCTTGGAGATAGCTTTGCGACAGCTACTCGCCCAACGACGGAGACTGGAACGCGTGGAACAAGACCTGGGGCGAGACCCTCTGCAGCAAGAAGACCGAGATACTTTCAATCTGTTATACTGGTTTGGCGTTATGTTTGATACCCTATCCGCAGCGATTTCCCAACGACCAGTAGTGGTCGACGATGAAGATAGCGAACTACCTCCTCCAACCAACGACGCGTATACCGAGCAGTTTACGTGGTCCAACCCTCCTACCACTTACACGGACCAATTCGGAATGCGGACAAATCCTTCCATCCTTTCCACTGAGCCTACGGCGACTCAGGCCCAGGAAGGCAATGCGGTGTGGGGTGATCTCTTCACGCGCAATGGCACACTGGAAGTGGACCCTGGAGCAGCGCGATGGCCATGTAGCTACAAGGTCGCCGCCGCAACACTCAGCTCCGCCGCACCAGTGAAGGTGCTTCTATACCGTCGCGTCGCACATCTCCAAGCGTTGGTATCGCGGAAGGTTTCGCCAGCTAGGATTGAGGTAAGTACAGAGATGTGTCATTCCCTTTTTCGTGGCCTCTAGCTGACAGTCTCATGCGCAGTCAGGTATAAACGGCGCATTCCACGTATACAACCATTGGCATCGCACGTACGCGCCCTTCTTCTCCGACTGCGTAAAACACCACGCCACCCTCCCCACACGCGTACAATCCTGGTACACACTGATAGCAGGCCACTGGCATCTGGCAACCTTCCTACTTTCCGACTTACTCCTCACAATCGACAAGACGAAACTGTCTTCCCCGAACGAGCGCACCCTCCGACAGTCATCAAACCTCGTGGATACCCTGCGCCGCCAGAACGCACTGGCAGTCGCCGACCTGAGTCTAGCTAGTATACACAGCGTAAAAGAGAAGGAAGGCACAGATGAGTTCCACTTTGCGCTCAGCCAAGCTGCGCTGTTGACGGAGCCGTGGACTGTGGCTTTCGTGCGCTCGTTATGCAGAGCAGGCTACGTCTTGGTGCAGGTCGTGGCGTCGGAAACGATCGAAGAGGAACGCGAGCAAGCAATACGGAGATGTCGCGATTGCATCGAGGGTCTCTGGTATCTGGGTCGCAAATCAGACATGGCGTTTCTCGCTGCGCGCTATCTGTCGGATATGCTGGATGAGGCGATACGCGATACGAGTGCACGGATGATGGCGGAGGAGATGGGAAGTGATTCTGCGACTGTGTCGTCTCAGTTTGGTACGAGCTCGAGCCCTGGGACGGATGCGGGTGTGCCTGTGTATCAGCAGCCGTTTGGATCGATTGGTGCTTTTCCGTCGTGGACGGATGCGGATTTGATGGGGAGTTGTCAGCCGGGTACTAAGATTGACGAGGGCGATGTGTTGAATATGGAGACTCCTTTGAATGTTGATAGTGCGTTGCTTTGGGACTTTAGTCTGCAAGGGTAGCAGCAATTGCCTGACGAGGCTAGAAGTATCTGTGAGATCTATGAACGACTACTTTCTTCCAGCGTGTTCACGACCGGCAGAGCAAACGACGCAACGGAAAAGCTCGGCCATATATATCTGCACTCTCCAGATTGTCTGTCGAGCACCGCAGAGACTACGGAATACCGATAACACCATGCCACTAGTCTTTAATTCCTCCTTTCATGACGAGCGCTTTAGCATGGTCAGAACCATCAAATCTCAATGGAAAGTCGCAAACCCCACAGACGTCATCCCAGCGGACATGCGATACCCTGGACTCATTGGCACCTGGCCTCTACCCATCTTACGAGCCATAACCTATCTAGCCCGTAGGATGCCGGGTGAGGAGGGACGGGACCGATTTGTGAATCTCCTCAACACCGGCTACCTGATGAGGAAGGCAACCACAGAAGAGTCGGCTACTTCTGAACCGCAGCTGCAGCTATCCGATCTGGATCATGTCCGGGACAGCGTTGGATTAGAACCGGTGGCTGTGACGGTAGAGGAGGAAGCCGCCTCAGTCCAGAACGATGTTACACATCCCCAAGAGCGTCCAGAACGAATACTTCCAGAAGATGAAGATGAGCCGGAGACTTTGAAGTTGAAGTTAGATCTGTGGATCCAATACTACTGGAACGTCACTGATATCAAAGCCCTTGTTCCCACGAAGATGCGGCAGCTAGACAAATTTGGAAAGCCGACCAATCGGGCGCTGCACAGCTCCAGCGACCAAAAGGATCTGTTGAAGGTACTTTACCAGTTAGCTCGCATCACAAAAGGTCGAAAGGATGCAGCATGGGCGCAGATAGAAGAGGCGTGGAAGGCAAGAGGAGGCAAAGCGTTTGCAGAATCAGACGTCAAAGTCGCTCTTGATCACTTCCGTGACCTACGTGAAGAAGAAGATGATGATGACTCTGTTACCAACAGTCGAAAGCAATTACGTATTGCACCTTCAAACCCCGACGGGACTACCGGCGAGGAGGGTCAGAATGGTGCGACGAAGGCCCAAAGGGGAAGTCAGCATCTGGATGGAAGGCAACGGAAGAGACGAAGACGCGAATCTCGAGCCACCGAACCCCACACCTACGACAGTGCCAACCACCAAAGGCTACTGCCCGACGTGGATGTCGGAGAGACAGCACCCTTGAAAGCTCGCAGCCGACGCTCCTCAGTTATGGTAAGACGTGACAACGACCGCGCGAGTAGCATAGCGACCCACGACGCTACGGTTGACGAGGCTGCCTCGAGCGTACAAGAAGCGCGTGGAGCAGCGACCTTGCCGCTAACAAGGAAGAGACGGCTATCACGAGACGAAGATGAGGCAGATGTCGATGAAGAAGGTGGCAAGACGGGTGATGACGAAAAGGATGAGCGTGCGGAACGAGCGCACGATTATCTGGAGCCAGAGAAGGCGCAAGAACCGCCAGGAAACCGTGCCGTGCTGTTTGAGACGGAGGACGCACCACAAGATGGGGAGAGCGAGGACCAGGCAAGAGGTTGAAGCAATGTAGATCAGACGTAGTGCAGATTAGACCTCAGGCTAGTAAGTGACATGACTAGTAGTGCCCGCGACTGTCACGTATAATTGTAGCATTCTAAGTTGTTCATTACTGCGCCCCAATGGCGCGTGGGGCTTGGCCGATCCCGACATGTGTCAACAGACGTGTGGCACACTGCAGATCCAATGTCGCACAGTAGTGAAAGTACGAACATGACTAACTCGAAGCCTCTATGAGCTGTTCTTTCGAACGACGCGCAAGTTTGGGGGTTGGAAGCGAGTTACCCCGCATTGTTCGCTGTTTCGCTCTTACCACCACATAAGAAGAAAAGACTAGGTAGACAGGTCTGCAGACTACATTAGGACAAAAACTTGCAAAGTAGGTAACCTAAAATTAACGTAGGCTCTAGGCTGTTTACTTTTTTCCTAGGTTAGCGTGTTACTAAAAGCCCAATCGCCCCAGCTTCAGAATGACGAGCGAGAATCCCGCCCCAAACACGCATGCACCAACTCAGGTAGGCAATTTTGGACCTCAGAGAAGCGGGCGAGACTGATGCTATCCTGCAACTCGGCAGCATGCACCTTCAGAAGTGGATAGTACCCCCAAAGATACTCTTATCACGATCGGAGATGTCAGATACGATGTCGACCTCTCGCAGATACCTTATCTGTCGTCCTTTGCCGATTTCCAAGCCAAAGCCCAGCCGGACGTCACCGATTTGGTCCACGGCCCAATACCTCTCTTCGACGTAGCTTTGAAGGGAATCCAATCGGGTTATCGTCAATGCTTCAGGAATCTTCCCCCCGAACTCCAACAGTACCACGTTCTATGCGAAACATACGAGTTTCTCGGCATCAATGTCCTCGACAAACGACGTATCGACCAGATCTTCAGCGATCTGAGGCTCTGCAGGATAGATTGGGACCCAGAGGATGAAGATACCAGGGGTGTTAAGTCGAAAGCACGCGACGCCGCTTTCAGGTTGCTGTATCTCATCCTGCTGGGCGAGTTTGAGGATGATAAAATGAATGGCGACAAAGTGTACAACGCAGTGTTGTTCGTATTATCCCATCCCGCGACGTTCAAGTCAAAAACAAGAACCGTAGTTCGGGCGGCGTATGAAGAACGTTTTGTTGTCTCGCGGAAGCAGATAAAGAGACTAGATCAATGGCTGAAAGGAGATACTGCAGATGATAGCGAAGAAGCTACCACTACAGATGAGGAATCGCTCGAGGATTCGGATGAGTACTATGGATCGGATTGGTCGTAGGGATTGCGGAAGTTTGTGCGGTTACTTAGGGAATCATGATTTCATTGTCAAAGCCCCGGCGATCACGTTTCTTGATCAAGAGAGATGTGATACGTAATCACGGATGCTTGCTGTTTCCACAGGTAATCAAAGTCTTTTGCATTATCCCGCGTGACAGTAGCACATAGAATACCGCCATCTTACCCATCTATATCAGTAGCAGGAACGCTCTCCTGTCAGTATCAAAATCCTCATACACTGTCGATAGCACCATGTATCTACCAAAAGAGCATCCCGACCGTCAAGAGCGACTGGATCTCGAGAAGAAGATCACATCTCAATGGGAAACCACTACCAAAAGCACTGCATGTATTCCTTCATCTATGCGCTACCCGAAAGACCTTGAGTGGTGGCCCATTGAGATCTTGCGGGCCTTGGGTGAGCTCGCCGACGAAATGCCCGGTATCGACAACTGGAACAGCGTCTACGATCTACTTGTAGAGGGCAACAAAGAGAGGTTAGAAGACAGTTTGAACACTTTATCAGCAGAGATACAACTGAGCGACATATCGTATGTTCGAGAGCAGAGATATAACAAGGGAAAGCAGAAGATGATTGACACAACTACGGATGATGACGGTATGTTCATATCTCATACAACGTTCGAAGTCGCAAAAGAGCTAATGTGTGCAGAAGCAGATATAGCTGAGCTCACATCTGATGATGACGATGTGGTCGATCTGGCTGATGATACAGACGACGTGGATGACACCATCAAATCCGGTGAGACTTCTGGAATAGCTGCCACACTAGACACGACCGTTGCAACCATCAATCAGCAAGATGACGACCCAGATGCTCTTCCAGCTGATATACTCCCCACGGATAGCCAAGACGTCAAAATCAAGAAGTGGAACCTCTGGATCAATCATTACTGGCAAGAAAGAGATTGCAGGGTCCTGATTCCCGAAGAAATGCTCCAAAGACATAACAACAAGAAGACAATTCGAAGTCGGGAGTTGAAAAGTTACGGAAAGAAACGAAATGGTGAGGTCAATGAGCTGCTCTACGAGCTAGCCAAGATAACTCGAATGCAGCGGAAAGATGCAGCGTGGGCGAAGATCAAGGAAAACTGGACCAACAGGAAAGCAGGCACAAACGGGCACAAGGCGCTTTCGGCTGGAGATGTTAAGTCCGCTCTTGATTACTTCCGGAATCTACCGCAGGGTGAAGGAGAGGAGTCTGCCGCTAGTGGTGGACTGGCATCTGCGGTGACGTCAAGTGACTCTGAGCTTGAAGATTAGGGAGGACTTCGTGAGGAAGCTTCTTCGGCTGGAGACAAGAATTAGGAAAAGTAGCAAGCAGATCATAAGAAGGGTTGTTATGGCCAAGACAATAAGAGAACAGGAGAAATGTGGGATGCGCGAGATGTAGGACAAGTTTAGAAACGCCTAGTTGACAGTTCGATCTTTTCTAGCATGAAGAATGTATAGCATATCGAGGGTATCGCCTTCGCTAAAGCGTAGCAAGGAGGCTACATACTAGTAAAAGGTTAGCAAAATATCTTGAGAGCTACTGGAGGCGGCTACTTTCCCCTGTCCCAACTCCCTTCCAAGCCATCAAAGTATAATTCTAATCCTTCACTTCCGTCACAGCTTTTGATCCCACAATCCCAAATCGGCACTCCGTCTCCCCAACACCACAGATCTGACAGTGTTTACACCCAGAGCCATCACCAGGATCACCACTGCATCGTGTCTTCCTCTTACGGCAACGGGTGCACGTTGTCTTGGCTTGACGAATCCTCACAGCCAGCCGTTGCTCCTCGGTCAGTCGTCCAGGTCTCTGCTTGGGTGCTTGTTCGTCGCTTGCTTCATTCTCTAATTCGTGAGGTTCGTGGCGCTCGATTCCAGACTTTTCGTCGTTGGTAATAGATTCGGGTTGTTCAACGGACTGAGTAGATGTGTCGGGCTCGTTGTCAGGAGAGCAATGGGGCGGTTGACGGCCCGTATTGACAGCTACCTCTTGGTCTCGCATAGCTACTTCAGACTGTTATGTTCTCTGTGGTACTTGTGTGGAAGTGTTGGAGTGCTCTTTCCTATCAAGTGCGTTAATCTGGCTGCTTACAAGAACAACGAAGGCGTGACAGACGATGCGAACGATGGAGCAGAAGAGAAGATTGGTCCAGTCTGGTCATATCTTGGGTCAGCCGAGCTTTTGAGTGGAGTTTGTTGTGTGACAGCCATCTGCGTATCAGCTACTACGTCTGTCGTGAAACATTGGCTCGACTAAATTGGGGAACCTATGACAAGTTCCAGCGTGGGATGCATTGGATGAGGGCATGTATAGCCAGCTTGACGCATGCCAACATCCTCGCGCGTCTCTTGGATGAGATAAAGATTATGTTTTACAAGAATTCTGATAAATACATTCGAGCCGCGACCGTGTAGCCCTATAGCCTTGCATACTGCCGAAGCATCTCGTGGCAGAGCTATTGAACCCTAGAACTTTCGATTCATACCATGAGAGAGTGCGAAACACCGTTGCAGCTGCGTAATATCCTGTAAACACCCCCAAGGCTGGCGGCTGGCGAATTGGACCTGATGGATCAGGTTTCTAGTGCTGATACTAGACGATGTTCTGTTCGCAATCTTGCCAGAGGGTTTCATGCGCCTCACATCGGGAAGCAGAGTATGAGCAGAAGTTTGAACATTTAGCGGGGCCTCTCGCACCCTCCGTTGGTCTGCGAAAGTACTTGTTTATCTTAACACCCGTGTTGTCGGTCAGACCCGGAATAGCGCTGGGCGTCAATAGCGATGAATTCTTCCGTGGACAACCTCTACAATTTGATTCTTTGCTTTCATAGACTGTAGGATCAGGTGGATCACATCGTCACGCTCAGATGAGTCGCGACAATTCTAAAACTTGTTAAAAGAGGGCGGACAACTTGATGGCTAGTACATACCTCCAATAGAGCTCTGAGCTGCCTAATAAAATAGTTGAGGAACTTCAATTCCTCCCAGACCTCTGGACCGTACAACATGTCGATCCACGTGAAGCACTGTTCGATGAGAAAAACGAGAGGGACACCCAAATCTTCAAGAGCCTCTTCAGGTACGTAGGCTCCTTTCAGTGTGTGCCCGTCCCTGAGACACATCTGCCAGTAATGCAAATAACGCTGTCGATCAGATGCCTCCAAGATCGGTTCTTCTTCTATAAAGGTTATCAAAACATCAATCGATCTGTAGAGCGTATCATGACGCAACGCTTTCTCTCCGTCCGGGCACACAGCACTTTTGCCAGGGCCCAGCAGGTAGTCTTTAGCGGATTGGTGGACAAAGAGGACTACGCCATATTGCTCTGAGAGGAATGACCCACATTCTCGAATGATGTCTCGCATCATTCCTACTTTATCATCAACCTTGTCTAACTCTTTCACTAAATAGGCCAATTCGAATGCCTCAAGAGGTCTTGGTGATGTTAGCACGACCCCGAGCACAAACTTGTAAAGCTTCGATTCCGGCTCATCTAAGCTCTGAACTTGCTGGAGCATCCTCCCATACAGTTGTTCGAGCCCAGGAGGGAAGGCCTGCATGTCCTTTTCGTAGAACACGCGTTTCGAGAACTCCAACCTCTTGCAGACTAACGCTACCCATAAGAAGGTCCCTCCGGCGTTCTTCTTCAGGTAGTCGCGGATCGTCTCGGCATCCGATGGACCCAATCTCTTCTTATCAGTCAACGCTTTGACTTTGTGTTCGATGTAAGTATCGACCGCATCAAGAATAGCTTCGGATTGGGGGTCGAGTTGAAGATGAAGCATTTGGGGATGCCCAGTAAGCATATCGCGAATATCGTTCCAGCCGCGTGATGAGATTATCCACTTGGTGTGTGAAAGCTTTCTTGAGATCTGTACAATCAGTTCCAAGAGTCTTCTACGATCGTCCGGGTCGATGCATTCGTCCATAGCGTCTATGATGAGGTCGATGTTCCTTTGCCGTATATATGAGTCATCCAGCATACTGGTAATGATCTTGGATAGAGCCGTCCATGTGTTTGCGTCGTTAAATAACTTTTCGCCCACGCGATCATACTCAAGTCGTACATAGCGTACAAGTGAGGGCTGTTGACCAATCAGATGATGGATGAGACCCCGTAAGACTGCCGTTGCGTTGTTGTTGCGCGGTTCTGATGTCTGGCAGAAGAAGTAAGATATGAGATCACCCGCCGCCACGGTTTGTTCGAGTGCGTCAATGATGCCGCACATAAGCATGGTTTTGCCTTGACCGGGTGAACTAGAAGTTGTTAGTACGTATTTCTCATCAAACCACGTTAACCCAGGGAAAACCTGAACAGGTCTGGAGCCTACATCGACGCCAAGCCACCTATCTTGTATGCTCCTATGTTGATGTAGGCTGCAGACCTGTTCAGTTCTTCCCTTATATCAGGTGAAACCACGACATCGAATGCTGCTAACTCACCCTTCAACCCAGAGTAATCGTCCTTCACGGTCATCCCGCCAACGCCGATAATCCGCGTTGTCAAGCATCCACCGAAAAGAGCCATCCAATAATCCTCCCTTTGCATGTTCGAGCCGTTCTTTATCGTGGCTGGGGTTCGTCAGGAACAGGTGTTGGAGACACTTATTGTCGTCGGCAGTCTTCGTATACGCCAGAGAGTGCGCCGTTTGTTCCTGGATACTCGTCACAATGTTATGCAGGCTGATGTCCTGTGACTTGGCTTTCTTCGCAATAGCTTGGAGTTCGTTGCGGATTTCATGCGTGCTGAATTGAGCTGCATCTTGGCGTATCGACTCTTCCATCTCCTTGATCGCAGCCAGCTCACCTTCCCAATCATCCCACTTGACAAGGTCTCTTGCAAAAACAGTGCCACGTTTGCGATGATATGTAATGATACTTTTGATCTGGTATGCCAGAAGACGAGTGTAAAGGTCGACGAGATTCTTCTCGAGTTGATCTTGCAGCGACTGCGATCGTCGGGCTTCTTGATTTCTCTCTAGGAGAAGATCAGCTAGGTGCCAGTACCAATCCATCCTCGATATGACGTAAGCAATTCCATCTCTATTAGAAGACTGTTGGGTGAGTGGATTCATAAGTATCTGACATGCATCAGCCATGTGCTTGCATCATCAAAGTTCGCCAGCCATACATCAAGAGCAAGGCAGATCGGTACCCAAGCTATGGAGGCTTCTGGAGAAGCTCTGGTAGCTGTTGCGACGCTATCCTTGACGACATTGAACACCTGCAGGCCTTGCGCGAGTGCTTCGTTAGTCGCAGCTGCCTTCTCCGTCCTGAGCAATCCAGAGTCAACGAGCTGTCGCATCTGCAGTGATCTTGGCTGCCCTAGGCTGATCTTGTTGATCTGTGTATCGAGGTTCACGGCCTTAAGCTCTTGTCCATCGATTTGGCTTGATAGGATGCTCTCATAGTGTTCGATCAATTTCGGGTCCTTTGATTTGAGCTGGTCGTATGCCAGGTTCCATAGACGTCCGGGTAAGCTCTCCGCTACCAGTTCTGGGGTGCTGGTGCTCGTTGACTGTAGATCTGTCGTGGAGGAGGTTTTCGGCCCCTCCTCGCTCCGCTTCTCCTGGAAGTCGTCACTGGTGGCCACAGCGACTTGTAGTGCCGGTGTCCCAGGCTTCTCTCGATCCTTTCGGCGGGAAAACCTGAACAAATTGCAACATCCCATTATTGCGGAAGGTATGAAAGGTGGGTAAGAAGCAAGGCGAACTGGAAGGGAGAAACAAGATGCAATACAGCCTTGCAGCGACTGTGCCGCATGAAGCATGCATGCGGGGGCCTACCTCGACATCATTGGCCGTCCACCCACCATCCGATAGCATGCATAGGGAAAGTATGTCGTCGCAAATTAACCAAGGCTGTACTCATCCGATGTAGCATTCGATGATTGGATCAGAAGGGCTTGTACACCGAAGCGTGCATACATGCCGTTGACTTCGGGTGCAGCGAACGCCACCCTCGAAGAATGCGCCATCTCATTGGTGTCAGATCTTGCGCTGAAGCCGGACGCCGTCGCGCGGTGTTGGGGTGTTTGAAGTGAACGACGTGGACGCGTCGATGCCGTCTGAGGGTTGCAGCGCGACTTCCTGCCCATCTTATCAGCGACTAGCGGCGATAACGTCATCGATCACCAACACCGAGCCTCACGTATCCCATCCCATCCACACCGAGCCAGCTAATCATCCCACATCCAAGATGTCACGCACCTCCACCTCTCCAGAGAAGATAACCCAAATCTACACCCCCAGCCCCTCCGCCACCGAACCCGCCAACACCCAAGCCGTCATCTCAGCACTCAACCTCCAGGTACATGTCGAAGGCGGCTACTATGCGGAAATCGATCGCAACCCTCTCACCATTCCAAATCCTTTCTTAGTGAAGAACGGCGGTGTTGAAGAAGAGGATGTGAAGAATACGGCGGAGAAACCCATGTCAGGTGACAACGCGATTAGGAATGCGAGCACGAGCATATACTATATGTTGAGTGCAGTGAATCCGCAGGGACACTTTCATCGGAATAAGGGGAGAACTGTATGTGAAAGCCCTATGATCAAAGACTTAACGTGCAGGCAACAGTAAGAATGGAGTACTGATACTGAATGCTGTGCAAAGGTACACACCCTCATCTCAGGTCGAGGTCGTTACGTTTTGATCCACGCCGACGAACCCGGCACTAAGAAGCGGATCGAGACGTTCGTGGTTGGGACCGATGTCACGAAAGGAGAGAAGAGTGTGTGGATTGTTGAGGGCGGAAAGTACAAGGCGAGTTTCTTGCTTGATGGAGCGGAAGGGGAGAGGTTGTTGATCAGTGAGGTATGTGCTTTCACCCATGAATAGTGACCGCATACGTCTGACTAACGCGACTTCTTAGACCGTGATACCGGGCTTTGAATTCTCGGATCATGACTTCTTGACGATGGACAAGTTCAAGCAGATTGTTACGGATGAACAGGCGAAGGAATTGGAGTGGTTGGTGAGGAAATCGTGAGACCACACCCAATATCAGACGCATCACGTCGGATATGCAGATTCATCTGCAAAAAGCAAATGCGACGCTAATAATCTGCATTGACTGTGGCGGAACGCGGTGTCGCGTCTTCACGTGTGCGTGATGAAATAATGGCGGGGCGCTATCGATAACGGGCAAAATTGTCGATATTCCGTCACGCAAACCCACGCTCAGCGATTCCCTCAGCAACACAACCCAAAATGACTTCAGCATTCGGCCCAATCGCCGGTAAGTAGTCGCGCCGATAATTACAGCAAATCTCTGACGTTTGCCTAGAACAACACCAGGACAAATTCGACCTCGGAATCTGGCACGCGCTCTTTAACTGGAACAACCTCACCGTCGCCATCCAGAACCAATGGGGCGGCCCCGACTCCTCCGATAAGCGCGACTGGCTCGCAGGCCAAATCTCCGAACTCTTCGCCGCAGAACCGCTCACAGACCAAGAAGACGTCGAAGTCGTCCTGCTACAAGTCCTCGAGGACGAGTTCGGCGTGCGCGTAGAAGACGAGACCGAAGTCGCCGTTGCGCGCGAGATCATGGCGATACGGAAGGAGATTGGCGAGGGCAACACAGCGATGGTGGATGCGCTGCAGAAGAAGTGGGAAGATCGGAAGGGCAATGAGGTTGCGACTGGGAGTGTTAATGTCAAGGAGACGAATCAGGACTTTGAGGGGGATAGTGTGGATGAGGAGACGGATGAGGATGAGGATGTGGATATGGATGATGCGCCTGCGCTTGTGCCTGCGAAACCGAAGGCGGCTAAGCCTGAGCCCGAGATCGACGAGGACGGCTTCACGACGGTGGTTGGCAAGAAGAAGAGATGAAGAGGAGAGGGAGGAAAGAGGAGCAGCGATACCAAGCCAGCTGAGGCAGTGAAACGGTAGCAATGATGTGGACGATCACTGCATAGATGGGAATCTATGGATGCACACAGCAAATGCCGCGCAGGAAGCGCGCACATCAGCAGCGAGTGGCGACGCCATTAGACCGGTGTGATGACCACCTTTGAGCATATCGGAAGAGGAAGTTCAGACTCAAAATAAATTCACTGTCGTCGCGTCAACAGTCCCGACCATTGTCTGTGTAACGCGAGCGTGCCTGAGCTGGTGATGTCCGCCCAACTGCTAGCGGCAATTGCGGAGCTTCATGCATGGCCCCGCCCGCATTTGACCTGCACCTTGATTGACCCAACCAGCCTGTGTCTCACGACCACAACAACATCCTTAGCCCCCACCCTATAGACAACCGCCCCTACCCCTCGCCTCCCTTCTGGACAGTCGTAGCTATGGATTCCGCCTACGATCACATCCAGGAGGAGAGCTATCCGCAGGACCCCACCAAGCAGTCCGCCAGCGGAGATAACACCCACCAGGAGACGACCAACAACTTCAACGCCGAGTTCCAGGATGCTTACAAAGCTATATCGAGCAGCCCATGGGCGGCGCGTCTAGGAGGATTTCTGGGGAATGTGCGGAAGCAGGTAAGACAGGCGTGTGGAGTCAATGTACATCTTCTGACCATGTGCGGTGTAGGGCGAGCAATACTACGACAACGCAAGCAAGCAATATGCGCCACAGGTCAAGAACGCCTCCGCCAGCGTCTCCAACATCATCAGCCACGCGCGCAAGATCTCCCTCCAACCCGGCGACGCCTCGAGCTCCAAATCTGCATCCACCTCCCAAGACGCTTCCACCGAGAAAGCGACCGAAGACACAGAAGCCCACCCCGACCGACCCGAATCCCTCACCGCAGACATTGTAAAGGAGGCAGAAGGCATACTATCGCGCTTCCGCTCCGAAGCCGCAAAACGGCTCAAAGACGTAGAAAAAGCCGAAGACGCCGCCGACGAAGCGCTCCTCAAATTCGGCAGCAACATCCGCAACTTCCTCCGCGACGCCGTCACCATCGCGCCTCCCGAAGCCGGTTCGCAAGCCGCCAAAGACGGCGACGTGCTTTTCGAAAGCAAAGACAGCAGCGGCAAGAAGGTCGTTCACGCCACGCGCTTCGACGCCCAACTCCACGTTATCCACTCGACGCTCGATTCCTTCCTCAAAGACCCCGCGAGCCCGGAGTGGGAGAACTGGAAGGCGGGCTTTGATGTGGAGAAGAAGACGGAGGCTATCGCGAAGGATTTGGAGAAGCATGAGGAGCTGAGGAGTGCGATGGAGAAGTGTGTGCCGGAGAAGGTGGAGTATAAGGTGTTTTGGTGCAGATATTATTTCTTGCGCCATGTTATTGAGAGTGAGGAGCAGAGGAGGCGGGAGATGCTCAAGGGTATGTTGGATTCATGACCTGGGGGAAAGGATAGTAAAGCTAACATGTGAACAGCATCTACACCCGCCGCCGACGAAGAAGTAGCCTGGGACGAAGATTCCGAAGAAGAAGACGATGATGACGATGAAGAAGAAGAAGATGACGACGAAGACGATTCCTCCGAAGAAGACGACTCAGACGACGACTCCGATGACAACGCCACTGTTACTAAACCTACAACTAAATCCACCACCACCGCCGCCGCCCCATCTACCTCTACCACAACCACAAAACCCGCCTCCACCAGCACAACCACCAGCACCCCCAAACCCCCAACCGACCTCGCCGCCTCCGTCAAAACCCTCAAACCCACAGACGACGCTAAACCAACACCCGCGCAACCCCGCCGATCAAACGATGAGAAGAGCGTGGCTGATAGCGACGCGAGTTATGATCTTGTTTCTGGGACTACAACGAGGGCGCCGGGGAGTCCGCAAGACGGCAAGGATGGGAAGGAGGGGAAGAAGAAGGTTGTGGCTGAGGAGAGTGATGAGGAGGAGGACTGGGAGTAGGATGTGTTGTGAAGGGGTAAGGGGTGGAGATGGGTGGAGGGGTGGAGGGGTAGGGGCATGGATATGTGAATATGAATATGAATGATATGGGGTGTTTTCGGCGCGATGGGATTTTGTGTTTTGGTTATTTGTTGTGTCTTGGTTTGATGGGTATACGTAAGGTAGGGAGATACTACGATGATAGTGCACTTATGTGAGATATCTTACTTTTTGCTATCCATGGAAGATTTGGTGATGAGTGCTCGCTTCCTATGCTACGCTATGTTATACTAAATTCAAAGTGCATTTTAGGGACAAAAAGACAAGTGGTATCTAGAACGCCATTCTGATGCTGGAAATCGCTCGCTCTTTCTAATTCGACCATTGAATAATCTGCACGCCCTTCCTCATGATACTCTTCTCTCATCGTAATCGTAGTCTCGTCAACTGCGAGTACTTTCTAACCCGGCCTAGCCACACTACTAGGCGGCGTATCAAGCGGCACACTCCCCGTACGCGGTATCGCTGTGTTATTGCTTGACCTCCGCGAGAAGTTGGGCTGTTTCATCTGATTGAGATGCTGACCCGGTTGTGTCGTTGCTCGTCTGAGAAGCGGGCTTGGCGAGGAGACGTTACCCAGACTATGCCTTGCGGTGTGTGAGATCTCAGTAGAAGAATTTGAGCGAACGGTTGGGGTACCAGGTGTACTGCCTCGCGACCGCGAGTACGGCGACGAACCGCGCTGACCGATGGGATAGCTATCGTAGTCATAGCCTCTGCTGTCGTTCGCGGTTGGAGTATCAGTCCAGCCGTCCCGGTCGTGGTCGTGCACTTGCTCGTGTCCGTGTTCGTGTAACTCGTGCTCTAGGTACTCTTCTCCTCTCCTTTTGATCGGACTTTCGTCGTAAGGATCAAATCCTACTCTCATCCTCGCCTCCCTTCTCACTCGTCGTCGTAGCTCAGCATCACCACCGGCGCCCACTGTACTGCTATCCGAGAGGAAGAAGTTGAGGAACTCATCTGATATGGCAAGATGCGAAGATTGCTGGAATTGCTGGAGCGCTGTCAAGCGGATTAGCATTTCCAGAAGCGAGAGCGAAGTCTTGATAGCGGGGAGAGACGTCGGTGCTTGTTGCTGGTATTGTGGAGTAGGCGCAGAAGCCTTCTGCGGCGAGGGTATCATCTGATTTCTGGAATTCGGTTGTGGGGAGGTGGGTGTACCAGGCCGGAGATTGAGGTTGGAGAAGCGGCCGAGGAAGTCGGGTGGTGTTGGTGTGGCTGCTGGGGATGGGGGAGATACGTCTTCAGTGAGGTCCTCTGTTTCGTCGATCTCGGAGTCGGTGGACGGATCCTCCGTGTATACTTCGAATGCCATCCACTCCAAGTCCAGCGTGGGAGGTAGTCGCCAGGGGTATGTAGGCTGCTCGGGCTCTTGCGGGGTGGCCTCTTGCGGAGCGGGCTCTTCAAGGTGCGGTGTCGACTCGCGTCGCAACTGCTCTTCCAACTCGGTTTGCTCGGGGTCTTCATCATCAGCAACGGTATGTGACTCGTCCGACTCATAGCCAGGTTCCTCGGCATCGCGCTCCATCATGCGGCGTGGCGGTGCTGCATTGACGTCTCGCTTCAGCAGCAAGATGGGGTTGTTGCTTTCATTGTCGGAACCGATGTTTAGTATCTTGCCCGTGTCGGCGTAGAAGATCTTTGACACTTCATGTATGGGTATGATCTCACGGACACCTGCTTGCTCGACACCATCATATGGTCCTGGTTGAGGTTCGCCGTCTTCGAACTCATGCATACGGCCGTCGTCTAAGTCTTCAACAATAAGCAGCTGGTAAGCGAACTCTTGCAATACACTGTCGGATGGGATATGAGAGTGTTTAGCTTCATCAGCTCGACGACTGTCCAGCCCAAAGGGCGTTGGGTAATCATAGACGTTATCCAGTGGAACTCGCATCAACGTAACACGCGCCTTATGCATGACCTCCTTCCATGTTGTCTCTCGCACGTCTTCTTCATGAGCTCGATGCGCGTAACCAGCGAACAACATGTACATGGAGAGTGTGAAGGTGGGACCAATTTGCTGAGCCCTGGGCTTCGATGCGCAATATTGCATGTCGCCCGAAGTGAGAAAGGTGCTCGCCTGTAGGAGCCGTGATGGCGATACAGTAG